TAAAGGCAGGAATTTCTGTCTTAATTAGTTCTGTACTTAGGGCATTGCCTAGTAATATGGCTATAGCACTCAATAAATTTTTGAATTTAAAAAAAATCCCACAATATGTCATTGAGCCTATGTTTGAATACCTTTATTGATAGATTATTCTACCTCCCTTCAGAACAGCCCATTTCATTTTGAGATAACTGCTAACCTTCTCCTTAATCTTTAGGTTCTTACTGCCCTACCTTTCTGCATATGATATGATTTCCAGGGCTGCCACCATTTTAGTCACCTTCCCTGGACATTCATTATTTTGTTTGTCCCTAAAGAACAGCACCAGCACTGAAACAGATGTTGCACATGTAAGCTGAGTGCAGCATCTTGTTTTTGACATTCTATTTTTATTAAGGTAGACTGTGATTGAATTGACTCTTTTTAAGTAACTCTAACCCTAACTCATTTCAAATTTTTATTCCACTAAAACCTTTAAATTATTTTTATATATGCTACTAAATTTTTTATCTTCTACTTTACAGTTAGTTTTTGCCCAAAATCAGTCCTTTGCATTTCTTCTTATTTAACCTAATAGAAAATTTTCCTGGACAATAGATGTAGAAACTAGCATGTGTAAATTATTTAGGAAACTAATTATCCAAAATGTATTTGAATAGTTCATTGCAGTCATATCTTGCATCAATTCAAGAAAGAATTCTGAGTTGATTTAAAAAACAATTTATACCTCATGCATTTGTCCCCCAAGATTAACAAATTAATTCCCATTCCCACATTTCTCATTTGCCTCTTGTAATCACCATTTTTCTAGATCTCTAGGCCAGAATACTCTTTGATTCCTTCCCTGTATTTATTTGGTCATCAAATCTTAGAAGTTTTCCAGCTCTTTACTTTCTTGCTTTTCTGTTCACTTCACAGCCAGTTACCCAAGCTATGCAAATCTCTTGGCTTCTAATATCCCCATACTGTAATCTAGCCTGTGCTTTGCTGGCAGATCATTCTTTTAAAATAATTATTCACATCACTTTATCATGTCAGTTTTCTTCAGGGGAATCTATAAGATTGAATTTTTTTAAATTCTTTATTGTTTAAAGCAGTGGTTCTCAACCTTCCTAATGCCGCGACCCTTTAATACAGTTCCTCATGTTGTGGTGACCCCCAATTTCATTGTTACAAATTGAACATAATTAAAGCATAGTGATTAATCACAAAAATAATATGTAATTATATATGTGTTTTCCGATGGTCTTAGGCGACCCCTGTGAAAGGGTTGTTCGACCCCCAAAGGGTCGCGATCCATAGATTGAGAACCGCTGGTTTAAAATATTACATATTACATATGTCTCCTTTTCCCTGCATTGACTTCTTCCTGGCCACTCCCCAGCACATGCCCTCCCCCCCCTAGTGTCTGTGTCCCTGTGTCCATTGGTTATGCTTATATGCATGCATACAAGTCCTTTGGTTGATCTCTTCCTCCCCAACCCCCCACACCCTCCCTTGCCTTCCCTCTGAAGTTTGACTGTTTGTTCGATGTTTCTCTGTCTCTGGATCTGTTTTTGTTCATCAGTTTATATTGTTCATTATATTCCACAAATGAGTGAGATCATGTGATATTTATCTTTTTCTGACTGACTTCTTTGACTTAGCATAATGCTCTCCAGGACCATCCATGTTGTTGCAAATGGTAGGAGTTCCTTCCTTTTTATAGCAGTGTAGTATTCCTTTGTGTAGATGTACCACAGTTTTCTAATCCACTCATCTGCTGATGGGCACTTAGGCTGTTTCCAAATCTTAGCTATGGTAAATTGCGCTGCTATGAACATAAGGGTTCATATGTCCTTTCTAATTGGTGTTTCTGATTTCTTGGGATATATTCCTAGAAGTGGAATCACAGGTCAAATGGGAGTTCCATTTTTAACTTTTTGAGGAAACTCCATACTGTTTTCCACAGTGGCTGCACCAGTCTGCATTCCCACCAGCAGTGCACGAGGGTTCCCTTTTCTCCACATCCCCAGCACTTGTCCTCTGTTGATTTGTTGATGATAGCTACTCTTATTTAAATCCTTAAGATGTATGAGTTCCCTATAAATTTTGAAGATTAGGCCCTTATTGGATATAACATTGGCAAATATGTTCTCCCATGCAGTAGGCTTTCTTGTTTTTGTTAATGGTTTCTTTCGCTGTGCAGAAGCTTTTTATTTTGATGTAGTCCCATTTATTTATTTTCTTCTTAGTTTCCATTGCCCTAACTGTGGTCGGCAAACTGCGGCTCGCAAGCCACATGCTGCTCTTTGGCCCGTTAAGTGTGGCTCTTCCTAAGCCTTAGGAGTACAGTGGGGCCTTGACTTACGAGTTTAATTCGTTCCGTGACAGAGCTCGTAACTCAGATTACTTGTATGTCAAATCAAAAAGTGAACGAGTGAGATACGTGATGCTGGGCTGATGTTGTGGCGTTCACTGTGGCGTTCGCTGCGACAACTAGCAGTGGGATATCTGAAGGTGGCTTGTAACCCGAATTGTAGCTCGCAACTCAAAGCAAAAAATCGACTGAGAGACGGCTCGTATCTCGAAAAACTCGTTAGTCGGGACACTCGTAAGTCAAGACCCTTGAGTGTGGCTCTTCCTAAGCCTTCGGAGTACCCTAATTAAGTTAATAACAGTGCACCTACCTATATAGTTTAAGTTTAAAAAATTTGGCTCTCAAAAGAAATTTTAATCGTTGTACTGTTGATATTTGGCTCTGTTGACTAATGAGTTTGCCGATCACTGCCTAGGAGCTGTATCAGTAATTATATTGCTACGACATATGTCTGATATTTTGCTGCCTGTGGATTCCTCTAATATTTTTGTTTCCCATCTTATGTTTAAGTCTTTTATCCTTTTTGAGTTTATTTTTGTGTATGGTTTGATAAGTTGGTGGTCTAGTTTCATTTTTTTCACATGTTTCTGTCCAGTTTTTCCAACACCATTTATTGAAGAGACTATCTTGACCCTATTGTATGCTCTTGACTCCTTTGTCAAATACTAATTGAGCATAATGGCTTGCGTCTATTTCTGGGTTCTCTGTTCTGTTTCATTGGTCTATATGTCTGTTCTTGTGTCAGTACCAGGCAATCTTGAGAACATTGGCTTTGTACTATAGCTTGATATCTGGTATTGTGATCCCTCCAACTTTGTTCTTCTTTCTCAAGATTTCTGTGGCTATTGGG